TAAAATTGCAAGAGTTCTGCGAAAATTTAGGTCGTGCCGGAAAATTTAAGTCGTGCCGGAAAGTTTAAGTCGTACCGGGAAAAAACTGGGGTGTTGTGAAATAAAGCCCAGGTTGTGAAAAAAAAAAAAAGGTAATGAGAAATACGAGATAGTACCAACTGGGCTCCTTAGATATTAGACATGACCACCATTATAGCGAATGAGCGTACCCTACATGAAGCTATGTTTTAATATTATTACAAAAATAAAGCATCAATTAGACTCTCACCAGTCACGGAGGATCACTAGAAAAAAGTTAACAGAACTAACTAAAGAACTGAAAAAGTTAAGAAAACCGCTGCAAGAAGATACAGAAAAGATTGCTTATATTTGGAAGAGTACAAGGAGATACTTAAGCTGAAAGAGCAACGTTTAAGGAATTTGATGAATCGGGCCAATCATCCCAAAGCCCCACCAAAGTAACGGACGATTTAAAGAATGTTCGTGAAAGGGAAACCTCGAAAGATATGATCATTCAATTTGCTGAAGCAACTAGTAGTGGCAAATCATTCTTTATAAACGCCCTACTCGGCGAAAGTCGTCCGCCTGTTGGATTCATGCAAACAACCATATGTTCAATTAAAGTTTGCATCACTGAGAATAGCGAGTGGAGAGTTAAAATAATTGACGAAAATGGAAGCAAAGAGACTCTCACAGAGGGAACTAACGAAGAGACTGTAAGCGATCGTTTGAGTAAAATGAGTGGTCGAGAAAATGAACAGCGATGGAAAGAAAATTAGCCACCGTAAAGAGTATAAAAGCTGACGTTTCGAGCGTTAGCCCTCTGAAGAAGGGCTAACGCTCGAAACGTCAGCTTTATTCATTAGCGATGGAAAGAGAAAGGAATCGGTCGACGCACCATTGTACAAGTCAACTGACCTCTGAGCAAATGCGAAACGTTACCAAGAAACGTTATCTTGTGTGACACACCCGGCTTAGGAGAAAATGATGAGGACGAGGAACTCATCACTCAGGAGGGCGAAAAGCAGACATAATTGTAGCCGTTATGGATTCCATATCACCGTCATTAGGGAGAGTGAGTAAAATGCTCTGGTTTCCACTGTTTACAGAATGTATTTCTCTTCAGTTAGGTTAAAACTTACATTTATATATTAATAAAGTTTCCGTAACAGTTACAATAGCGTAACACTGTTGGCTTTAGTCTTAGCATCGATGAAAAAAGTATATTCGTCGGGTCTTAAGAGAGCCTGCTTACCGAGGAATTCGCAGCATGTACCTTTACTCCGTTTCACAGATTCAGGTTTTGCTGTATATGTTTTGGATTCACATTTTAAATACTTGCAGTTAATATATGACCGTAATAAGTCGCCTATCTTGTCTTAGATAAAAACATTACCCTTGAGACAAAGTGAGTTCTGTGGTACGTGGGTAAGCTCGTCTCCTCTTTCTCAAGGAACGAAATATTAGTACAATGAATCAAAAACCTGACATGCCCCTAAATGCCAATAAGAGGCCAGCTTTTGGTGTCTTTACAAAGTGGGACGAATGCTTAAGAAAAGCGAGGAAAGATGGAGAACACGTCGTAAAATCCGTGG